ACAAAGAGGGGTATCGAGTTTTTTATTGAGTATATTTGACATGGTATGATCCTAAAGAAATTAACCCTTGAATTTCGTTTCCGGCGGGCGGCCTTGTGCTGCTCGCACGGCCAATTTATTTTTAGAATAAACACGATCCTTTTTTTTTTTTTTACAAGTCAATGCATATCTCCTACTAAACAAATTAACCTTGTTCATCTCGTTTACAGTTGCCCGCCCCGCTCCCCAATCACCATCAATAAGGTGGCCAATACACACATAAACCCATGACACACTGCGCCTTCAATTTCAATTGCACCCATTTCTCATCTCAAAATCACTGCCCAATTCGCATATTCACAAACTTAGACTGTTACAAACCTGATAATTACACTGCCACACACCTTCAATTCAGATTTCTCCTCCGCCACTGCTCCCCGGCCCTTTTTTTTTTTTTTCAAACCATCAATTCTATGATGGACAAGCTGACGCTTCTCCGGGAGTACACAATTCGGATCGCCCTTGAAAAGATTGTGCGGGTCAATGACGATTATCGATTCGGCATCGACTACTCCTTTCCAGCTGCTATCGAGACTGCACACCGCTCCACGCATGGCTCGCCAATTTTTTTCCCCGGACGAGGAGAAAAGTGCTTTGGACGGAATTTTGGGCTACTCAATTGATGTTTGGCCAACTTCAGATGACTTGTGACTTTATTAATGGGCTCCAAATTTATTTGTTTCGTAGTGAGCTGCTGAATTAGTTTGTTTATTAGTGGGGCTGCTCAATTAAATTGTTTGGGCCGTTGAATTAATTGTTTTTGGGCTGATTTTGGGTAAAATTTGTTTGGAGAGCAATCTGGTTTCTTTTGTGGGGTGATTGGTTTGGGCTACAATCTTGTGGGCTGATTATTTATGTTGAAGTATTGTTAGTCTACTTTATTTAAAATTCTGCAAGATTAGTTGACATTAGGTTGAAAATAGTGTGTAATGGGCTTGGGTAAAATAGTGCAGATCATCGCGTTTTGGTTGCTCAGGTGCTCAAGTTTAGGCTGTTTTGTGGG